ATAAGGTGATCCTGAATATCCTGTGTGCTGATTGATCTGAGGAATATAGGAGGGGTTATACTGTATGGGAGGGGATATGCTGCTTACAAAATTAATCTACACCATGCTTTCTTCTCTCAGATATTTTTGGAACAGGAGTTCATCTGAGACCCGATCGGTACGTGAATAAAGGCCTCTTTCTTCCTGAATACCTGTGTCCATCTCTCAGTGTTTGGCTTCTGCATGCTTCCACTGTTACATTTCAAGGGTAGGGAGAGGAGCTGATGCCATATCTCTGCAGTGCAGGCTGTGCTTTGAACATTCTTTACAATAGATAAGACATGCCTCTCTTTTCATTTGCTGCAAAAGGTATGTTTCTTTCAGAGACTGGGAATCAGGAACATGTTGAAATGTGAGAGGGGGATGGGCTAAGGAGGCTGCGTTACACTTCTGAAAACATAAAATATTTTACAGCACTGCAGGAAATCTACTCAGAATCAAAAGAAAAGAAACTAACCACAGGTATTTCAGCTTATTAGCTTTAATTTAAGCTTAACATGTTTAGCTGCCAGGAGTGTCCCTTTAAAGGAAACTCACATGTAAAATTTTACACCTTGCAGAGGAGCTCTGGTTAGCTACAACTGCAGAGGAATTCATGTTGTAAACCTTCTGACATCTATCACATTCCTATACAATCAAATTAACACCTCTCATGCTGAAATTGACCATGCCACCTCTACCAGGTTGCCAAATCATGTATTCATATAGTAATTACTTTCAATTTATGTTTGTATTGCTTTACTAAAACAAGTGCAATTTAAGTGGGTGTGGGGAGGGGTTCATCGTCATCATGTGTATACATAGGTGGCTATCTAGATACACTATTTAGGCAGCCACCTAACGCCTCGCGCAGGCTGGGGCCTTGCGCCCACCTAAATCGCCATAAGGCAGACTGATATGTCGGATCCTCATTCCATGAACGAGGTACGGACATCAGGAGGGGCCCGGCGGCTTGACCATTATGCCGCCGAGTGCAAGGCCCCTCCAGGCAGTTTGACTTGGGAGGAGAGTGCCTACAGTCTGCAGATCCGCCGGGAGTGAGCTGCAGACTACAAAGTGTCTTGCAACCTCCAGCCAATAGGAGCGTTGCTGTGGGTTCCCTACCAGCCATGGAAGCCCACCGGACCACCTTGTACACCTTCCCTCCCACTGCCACCAATCACCCCCTTACTCAGTCCCCTGTCACCTCCTTGCTCCGCCTCCTGTCACCTCCTCACTCAGCCTCCTGTCACCACTTCCTTCCCTCACTCTGCCCCCTGTTACCCCCTCACTCAGCCCTCTGTCACACCATTACTCACCCCCTGTCACCCCTCACTCTGCCCCCTGTCACACTCACCCCCTCCAAACAAACTGCACTCACCTCCCCTCGCTCTTCCACACTCAAATTACCCTCCTACTGTTACACTCACCATGAACCCTGCCACACGCACCCTGTAACATTAACACCTCTAATCCTATCACACCCCCCATCACTCTGCCACGCTCACCCTTTCAATTAACCCCCTTAATCCAGTCACATTCACCTTCCCTTGCCCTATCACACTAACTCAAATAATGCCATATACACGCCAACATTATGATACCTCCCCAACCATGTCACATTAACAATTTAAACCTGTCATGCTTACCTTCCCTCACCCTGTAACACTCCCTATTGCAACCATGTCACACTTGCCCTTCCTCATTCTCACACTCACTCCCCAACTCTGTCTCATTCACCCACTTATCCTGTCACACTCATTCTGCCACAGTTACCTCTTTACTCACCCTGTTACAGTCTCCTCTGAAGACAATCATCATACACACAAAGTTCTAAAACATGGCTTCACCATAAACAAGGTGCACAAAGGCCACAGGCAGCCCCCCATATACACAAAACACCACAAGCAGCTACCACACACACATACAGTCCCAGACAGGGCTGGCGCTACCTGTCAGGTGAACTAGGCAGCCGCCTAAGGCGCCCCTTGGGAAAGGGCACCGCAGCGCCGGCCCCCCTCATCCAAGCGCTCTGTAGAGAGCCTCAGACGGCTGCAGCTTTGCCCGGGCTGGTGCGTCCATGAGGGCACACCGCACCACCTGGGCGCAGCCTGAGGAGAGGGGCTGACAGGAGGGAAGTGCTCAGCGCTCCCTCCTGTCACTCCCTCACTGTAGCGTGGCTAAGCTCTGTATGGTCTGCGGGTACAGGAAACAAAAGCTCCCTGTACCCGCGTACCACACAGAGCTCGGCCACGCTACAAGAGAGGTAGAGGGGAGGGGGATAAGGAAATTGGAAGGGGGGGGAGAAGGAAAAACTGGAGAGGGGGGGGAGAAGAAGGAAACTGAGGGGAGAAGAAGGAAATTGGAGGGGGAGAAGAAGGAAATTGAGGGGGGGGGAGAGGGAAATTGAGGGGGGGAGAAGAAGGAAATTGAGGGAGAAGAAGGAAATTGGAGGAGGGAAGGAAATTGGAGAGGGGGGGAAGGAAATTGAGGGGGGGAAGAGGAAATTGAGAGGGGGGGAGAAGGAAATTGAGAGGGGGGGAGAAGAAGGAAATTGAGGGGGGGGAAGAAGGAAATTGGATAGGGGAGAGGGAGGAAATTGAGGGGGGGAGGAGAAGAAGGAAATTGAGGGGGGAGAAGAAGGAAATTAGAGGGGGAGAAGAAGGAAATTGAGGGGGGAGAAGCATGAAATTGGGGGGAGAGGGAAATTGGAGTGTGGGAGAAGAAGGAAATTGGAGGGGGGGAGAAGAAGGAAATTGGAGGGGGGGAGGAGGAAATTGAAGGGGGAGAAGAAGGAAATTGGAGGGGGGAAGAAGGAAATTGACGGGGGGAGACTGACATTCATCACACACACACAATTACACACAATGCACCCCTTGCACACAGAAAAACACACAATGCAATACACTCACAGACACACATACACAAACAATGCAACCCTTACACACAATGCATCCCTTACACACACAGAAACACACAATGCATTCATTACACATACTCAATGCACCCCTTACACACACTCAATGCATCCCTTACAGATGCACACACTGCATCCCGTACATACACAGAAACACACCTTGCAGCCCTTACACATACAAACACAGATTCACACAATGTATTTGTGACAGACCCATCTGTATGGACTAAAAGCACTGTGTTCGTGTGTTTTGCCGTTTGCATGAATTCCCCCATTCGTATGCTTTGTTTAAGGGAATGTCTGTTTTTTGTCGAACGGAACTACCGAACGGACGGCCATCCAGAAGAGAAGTGTGCTGCTGGTTAACCTATTGATCCCAATTAGAATGTTGCGGTTAACCACTGTGGGGATATTTAGGGGATAATAATAGTAACAGTGAGAATTGCCCACTAATTCAATTCTCAGATCCCAAAGAACGTTTATCGTAAGTGAAATGTATACCATATAAATAATTTTCACAGTTTATATAAAAATAGATTTTTATTTATGATAACCAATAATTAATAATAATATATGTAACATGCATGACAATAATCAATGAATATTCAGTATAAAATGGTATGCAATACAAAGGAATGGGTATTACGTTTCAATGGCTAAAAAGCATTTTCTGTCAAGACTTTATTTATGACTATCTTTCACAGACTTAAAGTGAAAGTTTTCACAGCGAAGAACAGAATTCCTCAGAGTGCAGCGTAAGGTCGTAAAGTTTAGCCGACAGTTAGAATAACCCTTTCAATGCTGGCTAGATCTCCTAGGTAGTTAAGATCTACTCTTATGTATTTTTAAATAAAATAACATTTAAACCAGTTTAAATTCATTTTCTTAAACCATCCAATAAGAGAGTCTAATATGTTATATAAGCAGATTTTTAATTTGTCTAAAAGATATCTATCTTAATTTAGAGCAAATCAATACACCTGGATAAAAACAGCGGTATGCTAACACGTGATAATATCACATCAATATATAATTATTCTTAATTCCACCTGCAGAATGGAATCTTTATAACTATATATTCTTAGTTAACTAAGATTTCTTAATATGGAAATCTGACCGTGCTTTATCCAGTCATATATAATGCTATTAATACATTTTAATTAATTTAATTTAATTAAATGAAACCAGTATAATTACCAGTTGAGTAGATATTTCATCCGATTGGTAGTCTCTCTGCATGGAGGTGTTGGTTAGAAAGTCAGTAAATTCTAAGTGTTAGAGTTTTAGGAGTAGAGTGTTAGTCTCAGATGTTGTCCGAGTTGGAGTCCCCAAACTTCCAATTCCTCTCTCCTCTCCTTTGCATATCTTGCATCTGCCTCCTTCGTCTCTTTCTCTCTTCCCTTTGTCTTAACTTTTAAAGGGCCATACTCAGTTGATAACCCAATAGAAGCACTAGAGGTATGGTTATCCTCCAGATCGCAAATTAGGTATTTGGTCTGTAGAGGGCAGTCTTGTCCCACTAAACATACCTATCCAGGAAAGAGTTAACTTTTCCTGGTGGCTATTTTGACGTCATTTTGGCCTATCTAGATAGTGGCTATAACTTACGTATCCTTCAAAGATCAAAGGGGTTCTTAAATTTTGTCCAGACTATGTGTCTGCAAATCTGCTATAATTTCTGATATGACAGATCATGAACTAAGTTTACCCTTTTCCATACAATGGTACCTTATATATATATAGACAGTTAAATTTTATTATTTAATCTTCTCTGTCACAATTGTCTGGGTTTAGATTTGATTATATTCCATTAGCATTAGACAATCTGTCCAACCCCCTTCCTTATCACTTGGCTTGTATATACTATGCATTCCTCAGCTCTGGGAAAGTGGTTAGCTTACAGATAGAAATACTGTGTCTCTTTGTTAACTTGAAATAACAAAATGGAGTCTGGTCTGTTCAGAGTGACTCAGAATATACACTTTTAGTTTCTATCATAGCACAAAATGTCTGCCGATATAAATACTCTGACATAACCCCCCTTTAGTGCATTTCATAGCCAAAATTAATTTAGCTTATGAATAAGCACTATAGAAGTTATCAGACATATTGTGCAATCACATCATTTCTAACATAGGCCCGTGCGTGGAATGAACATTTTTGTATATATTTGTACCTGTAAAAGTTTTGAACTTTACGCTTAGTACAATCAACCATAATATCATTATTACATAGTACATTATTTTCATTTGAAAAATGTCTTTGGGAGTTACATATGGTATGGCCAATAAAAAGCAAATCTCCATACGTTCCGGATCAATTAAGAGAGGTATAGCGCTCCCCATCTCAAAGGCCAGATTTAATTGCATAGGCTCAATTGTCTCTCCATCCACATTGGCAAGCATCGCATGAACAATATCCTTGGATACAAAGTTCAGAGGTATGCGTCCCCGTGCCAATTCGATCATTCCAGTTTGCAGTTCGTCAAGAAAAGCAAGTGTGTGGAACAATATTGGGTCATGCAGAAATAGAAGTTCACGCTTAAATAAGTCATGACTTTGGTGCAACTCAGTGGATTTGGCAATTAACTCCGAATGCAAATTTGTTGTAACAACTGTGTCTTCCACAATAGTTAACACGTCTTGGAGAGGTGTTCTTTGCTGGTTTATCACCTGATGAATATCGTTAATGTGTTGCTTTAGCGCATAGATTTCCATATCCAGCTTTTGGACAGTAATAGAGTTGGCTGCAGACATTCCAGTTGCGACAACTGCACCGACAGTGGCACAAACTAATGCAACAATTATAGCGGTGAGGAACCTTTTGGGTCGGTTGCTCATCGGAATAGAACTGGATACAAATGGTTTCCGGGCTTGCTCCAAGATGTTTCGCACACGGTCCTGTGCTCTTTGGAGGTGCATCTGGTACCAAGTCTGTAACTCAGGAAGCTGCATCGATGAAATGTTGTATGCCTTCTCGATGGAAATCTTGGGGTCCAAGCTGACGAACACACGTCGGGTCAGGATCCTCTTCTCTGTTAAGATGAACCCTGGTGTCTCTTGAATCAGGATGCCGGAGGATGGTCCCATCTCTGCAATCGGGTCGGTCCGTAGCTCTTGGCACAGGAGCAGTACGATCCAGAAACACGCCACATCCTTCTTGGACATCTTTCGATAGTCACGGATCAGGAACTCGTTTCAGACTTATCTACTAATGATTCAAGGTTTGTTAAGCATACAAACTTATAACAGTGTGACATCACTTGGCCTAGGACACATTATTATGATTCATCAACATATGTATTCTCTCTAATTCTATTTTTATAACTTCATCCCTCACTACATTTATTACTGACTCTTCAGCAATTTGCCTATAGCAGTTAAACAAGCTAGTAACCTGCTTATAAAATGTAGTTATTGGATGGCAAGGAAATGGTTAATGACATGAACGTACATGAGATCATGGCACATCACAACATTTCACATCATACTATACCACGTGAATCAAGCATTCATCCAGGTTAGTCGTTCACCCTTCTGCATCTGAATCCACACCTATAATCCTTAATTGAGATTTAGGATGACAAGCACGCAACTGGTTAATGTGAACCCACTTTTCAATAAAATCACCATCCTTAGGAATTTTTATCTTGTACGCTACTGGGGAAATTTTGTCAATGATGACATATGGCCCTTTCCAAGAAGGTAAAAATTTCTTTTCCTTGACTTGATTTCGCGCAAAGTTATACAGATAGACTTGATCTGTTATCTCATATTCCTTTTTCGTGGTTTTTAGATCGTAATAGGTCTTAACCCCTGTCGCTGCTTTTTCTAGATTCTTTTGGGCAAAAGCAAACGCATGCTGTAAATGCTTGCGCAAATCTTCGATATACTGATGCGTAGTGGCAGCATTGATCAAATTATGATCCGAAGTACGATATAGTAAATGCTGTGGTAAAACCATCTTTCTTCCTGTCATCAATTCAAAAGGTGACAATTTGGTAGCAGTGCTAGGTGTAGCTCTAATCGCCATTAAAACTAGGGGCAATTTAATGTCCCAGTCTTTACCAGACTCCTTAACATATTTCTTCAGAATATTAACGATAGACTGGTTATATCGCTCTACCCCCCCGCTAGACGCAGCGCGGTATGCAATATGTAGCTTTCGTTTAACACCTAGAATGTTCCACATCTTAGCCATTACTTCGCTGGTAAAATGACTACCTCTGTCTGACTCAATTCTTTGAGGCAGACCAAACCTGGAAAAGACATGGTTAATCAACAAAGTGGCGCACACGGTACTCGTGTTCTCTTTACAAGGCAAACATTCTATCCACTTTGTGTACATACATGTAACGGTTAACATGTATTTGTTACCTCTTGAAGATCTTGTTACAGGACCTATAAAGTCAATTTGAATATCAGACCAGGGTAATGACACCCCCCTCTTCTGAAGTGGTGCACGATGGGTTGGACCATGGGGTTGATATTGCGGACAAATCAAGCATCCCTGACAGTATGTCTTAACATCCCTTAACATGTGTGGCCAATATGCATAATCACGCAATATCTCATATGTGATCTTATCACCACGATGCCCAGATGTAGGTGCATCATGTGCGTGTTGGAGCATTAACCCTCTGTATACAGTTGGGACTACCCATTGTTGTATACCATGTTTAGAAGTTCTGACCAGTAACCCATCCATGATACTAAATTGGACTTTATATCTCATCAAGATTCGTAAATCTTCATTATCTTTGCAATCCACATCTGTGATGGGATTGGCAGTAGGGTCTTCTATATGTTTATAGAATATGCCTATGACGGGATCGTTCTTTTGACTAGTAATCAGGTCCTCACTAGGAGCTTCTTGACTCCACTGCACGACGTTTAAGTCGGCATTATCTCTAGCCTGTCGTCTGGTTATGGCTTCAACATGAATTGAACCCATAAGATCATCAATGTTTAGGGTTTCACCATTGATGGCAGCTTGTTTTGCCAGTGAATCGGCTAAGTCATTACCATCCTTGTCAATACCTTCTATTTTAGAATGGCCTTTGGTTTTCTTCCAATATATGGTTAAACCATTTTCCTTAACCAACTCATCGATTTTACAAAACAATTTCCCATGTTTAACAGGTTTGTTATTGCTTTTCAGCATTTGGTTACGTTTCCAGCTAGGCAGATATTCGACGAAACTGTTGCGAACATAGTTGGAATCAGTTATGATAACGAATTCTTTGATACCATATTCTATTGCCATTTGAATGGTCTTATATACTGCACAGAGTTCGGCTATCTGACTGCTTTTGGGACCAATATTGTATCCTATAGATACATTGGGATAATCACCTGTCCAGGCGATTCCGATACCTGCAACTAACTTCCGTTCAGCACCAACGACGTGGTGATATGAACAACCATCAATGTATACCCACGGTAGTGGTCGACAGTATTCCTCGTCATAAACTTTATAAGGAGATAGCAATTGCTCTTCTAGGAAGTCATCTCCGGTGTCATTATCATCCAGAGATGGAGCAGTACAGTCATGTAATTCTGCTAAACCTTGGGCAACTGGGCTTCTCTTATTATGTTTATAACGGACTTCTAACGGCCATCCCTGTAAGGATAGAGTCCATGCAGTAATCCGACTGTTAGAGAGATTACCGTCTCTAATTCTTTCACTCTGCAGATACTGTAGAGGTTGGTGAGCTGTTTCTACAATTATTTTCTCACCTTGGATATAGCTACGAAAATTTTGTAGTGCCCAGACAGTCGACAATAACGCCTTCTCACACGTGTTGAATTTAACTTCAACAGGTGACAAAGTCTTGCTAGCATATGCAATAACTTTGTTTAAACTGTCCTGCTTCTGATACAGAACAGCACTTATGCTTAAGTCGGTATATCCTGTCTCCAGATAGAAGGGTTTACCCCCCTCTGGGTATGCTAAACAGGGTGCCTGAGTGAGCTTCCTCCTCAGTTCACTTACCGCTTGGTCCTGAGGCTCCCCCCAGTTCCAGGTAGTTTCCTTTTTAAGCAGGTGTAAGAGTGGTTTAGTTATTTCTGCATAGTTGTCTATAAACTTACGGGAGTAGTTAGTCATACCAAGGAACGACCTTAATTCCCTGATGTTTGAAGGTGTTTTAACCTTTAGTACGGCTTCAACCTTCTTCCTCTGGGGATTTAATCCTTCAGAAGTTACCTCATGTCCGAGGAAATTGACATGGGTGCGACACCATTGTGCCTTTTGTAAAGACAGTTTAATCCCTGCCTCTCTTAACTGAGTGAGAACATGTCTAATCTCTAAGATATGGTTATCAAAGGAGGTGCTTTTCAGCAAGACATCGTCGACATATGATAACGTTCCTCTCTCGAGTGCGTCAGGCATAGCTTTATGCATGAACACAGCGAATTCATGACCAGAGTTTATGTAACCGAAAGGCATACGGGTCCAGGTATACTGCTGCTTTCCAAATGTGAAGGCCAATTTGTATTGGTCTTCATTATGGACTGGTACAGTCCAATATCCCTGCGCACAGTCAATGGCAGTGAATATTTTGGATCCCTGCATTTGTACCAAACATTGGTCTATGTATGGCGTTGGCCAACCAGACATATAGACGCGTTTATTTAGCTGTCGTAAGTCAGCGCATAAACGCCATTGTCCATTAGGTTTCAGAATCCCCAAGATCGGATTATTATACGAACTGTGCACTGGACGTATAATGCCCCTTTCCTTTAAATTCTGAATGATGTCTTGTAGACCATCATATGACGCTAATGGAAGTCTATATTGTTTGATAAATACAGGTGGTAAATTTGGATCAGTTTGTATTCTGGCTACGTGGAGGTTAGTTAACCCACAGTCGTAGGAATCTTTGGCAAAAATATCTTGGAATTCCATAAGGATTTCCTTTAGCTGTTGCCGCTCAGCATCGCTGGAGCAACCGTCAGCTAAAGATATTTGCTCTTCTAGCCTTTCCTGAAATCCTGGAAAGATTTCAGGCTGGCCTATCTCATAAGCTTCTTCAAGCCTAGAAGTTAGGTCAGTTCGGTGTTGACTTACCTTTTCTCTTTGGTCGAGATACTCTTGTAATTCCTGCTCATTGAGCGGATGATCGAAGGTGATAGATGCTTCTTCGATTTTACACGAGCCTTCTTCAACGTTGAAGGGATATACAGATAGGATAGTGAATAATCCTTCTGGGGAGGAATGGAATATTTGATCGACAATTTCGTCCTCAGTTAAGTATTCTTCAGGGATGAGGCCTATAATTTGGTTTTGGAAACCAAATGTATAGTACTCAGCATCCAATGCTAGACCTAATGATGTTCCTTTTGGTAAAGTAACACTATTGGGTGTAACATTGTTGACCATGATATAGGTGGGATTCTTACCAATACTTACCATTGGTGTATATGTTACCACCATCCCTAATTGTTGTATCCTGTTGGATAAACAGATTAGGGCATCAGAGTTTTCCAATCTCTGACCCTCCTTGACCTGTAGGGGTAAAAGAAAATTACTTGTCCCCTGTGGGATGGTTATGTCATCAGGTACTTTGATACTTACCGCATATGGGAGTATTTGTCCTGATTTTAGGGCATTTTCCTCGTGTAGGTATCCACAAGGATTACCTTTTAACCTTGTCCACAAGTTGGAATTAATCAGGTCAAGGTGTATGGCAAGGCGATGTATGACATCATTGCCTACGTAAACCTGATAGCGAGGTTCGTCTATCACTAGGAATAAATGTTTAACTGTCTTATTTCCGATGGAAATAGATAGTAAACATTTTGCTATCACATTGTGACTCTCTGATTCGCCATCCAGATTCTGGATCCACCTGTCATGTGGGGAAGCGTACCTGATCATTTTAGGATTAGCGATCTGCTTTAACAGACTTCTGCTAATATAGCTGTTCTCACTCTGTAAGTCCAGCTTTGCATTCCTACTTCTTCCTAAGTCATTTATTTGCATAGGGAAGAATAAGTTGTTATTAACCCTTTCAATTCTGGCAAGGAATTGAGCATGACCTGCCAGATCTACAGATTCAACATAGTCCCTGTGGAGAGAAATGGTTAAAACATCACCTTCCAGAGAGACATTCTGGATCCTCTCTGGAGCAATTCTTACGGAATGCTCATCTACAGGTGCGATT